CCACCAGGTCCAGGCGACCCGCAAGACGAGCGAGCTCGCCCTGATTCCCGGCCTGGGCGGCAGCATTACCGCCAGTCCCAAGGCCAAGTGCAATCTCAAGCACGAGGAGACGTTGACGGAGGCGGTCAACCTCAGGGTCCCGTGTCGGACCCGCAGTCGGAGCACTCGAACGAGAGTGGCTCTCGGGAGGTGCCGAGTACTCGTACTCGTACGAGGGCACCTCCGCCCCTGCTTGACCGGAATGGAGAAGTCCACTTCCACGTGGAGCGGATCCTCCAGGAGCAACGGTGTCGCGGGAAGCGACAGCTCCTCGTGAAGTGGAGGGGTTATGCCCACTCCAAGAACTCGTGGGAGCCGATTGAACGGCTCCTGATTGACTGCCCGAAGGCTGTCGCAATCTGGGAACAGAAGCGGCGGCAGCTTCATAAGTAGTCCGGGGCTTCTTGCCCGAACGGGGTACGGATGATGAATACATACCGTACCCGCGCTCATCGTGAGCGCTAGAAGCCGCGCGCTTCAGGATGTCCCTTGGCAGCATACGCTTGCTGATCAAGTGGGCAAACCTCACACGAAGATCACGCTGGTCCAGGATGTGGGACAGCTGCTGATCTTCATGGAGTTCCCATAACTCCGTGGGCGAGTACTTGAGAGTCTCCACCCACGCCCAGAACATGTCCTCACAAGAACTCCATGTGGGACAGTTCTCGGGCATAACCCAGGGGTATCCCCAAACAGGATAGAGACCACCCCGGGTCTCGGGCTTCTTACGACAAGTCGTGAAGTCCTTAAGGGGAATGCGGTGTGGCGCGAGAAGCACACACCGAGCAGCCTCCACGTTGTCGACGAACAACTGTTCTTTCTGAACAAGGGCTCGTTCATAGATGCCCCTAGAAGTGTGGCCGCCCACAATGCCACGAGGAGCGACGAGAAGCTCTAAGAAGAGGTCAGCCCCAGAGCTCTCCTCGGGAGGCCAATACCCTCTTGAGTTGATGGCAGCTTCCTGGCTGACGGGTGCCGCCACCGAACCCCCACGCACACGCTGGGCAGCTTGGAAATCCTCCTGCTGCTGGTCGAGGTCATTCGAGACCTCCCGGGGCTCAACAATGGCACCCTCCTCTTCCTCTTCTTCCTCCTTCTCCTCCTCTTCATCCGAGGAGCCGAAGAGACTCTGATAGGAGCGTCGAGTCTCCTTCTCCTCGCGAAGTGGAGACTTAGAGGCGGTACGCTTCTCTGAGGGCTTGGCGCCTTCGGCTTTAGAGGCCTTAGCGCGCGCAAGACCCTCGGCAAGCGAGAGACGTTTGCGAGGACTCCCTTCCTCATCGCCACCGGCTTTGGGAGTGCCCTTAGCCTTAACGGCCGGACTCTCAGAGCGCACAGAGGTCCTGGGACTGTGATCACCGTGATCACTAGCGGACGACTGCACGCTGTCTTCTTTGTGCTCACTGGGCACTGGGCTGTGCCTTCCCACAGAGCCCGCAGGAGCATCATGAGTGCTCTCGGACTCGGCATCGTCCTCACTGCCCGAGTTGAACTCACGTTCTACGAACCGAGGGTTCGGACGATTGTCTGAAGACGAGGGCGACGGACTGCGGCGCCTGCTTGCGCGCTTGTCCGCAGCCGCGTCACCCGAGGATCCGATCGCCTCGGAGGCCACCTGAGTAGCCTCCTTAAGTGCAGAGCCTTTGCCGTGAGGCTTAGTGCTCTTGGCCTGCGCCTTACCGGCTGCAGCCTTGGAGCGTGTCTTAGCACCGCTCTTAGCAGTGCCACGAGGCATGTTAACGGTCGAAGTGGAGACCTTGACGAAGAGCGCACAGGTTGCTGCTCGAGGCTCTAACTGTAAAGTGAGCCTCCGCCGCGCTCGCGCGGCCGAGTCGATGGTTTTCGACTTTGAGAATGAGAGTTTGTGACGAACATCTCTTCATTCTGATTGGTCGGTAAACCGAACCTAAGTGGGGGAGGATGTAACGGGGTACGTAGCACTAAGTGTACCCTGGTTACATGAAGTGTGACACTTCACACTTCAGGAGTATGACATGTCATACTCCGGGATAAGTGGTACAAGGTACCAAGGTCATTCAAAACCAACCATTGGTTTTATGACATTGCATTTCTATAGGTAACTGATAGTTTGTATTAACCTCAAACTTAACCTACCTATAAATATACTCAGTTTACAATCTACCTTATTTAGGTCACTTCGCTCTCTTTAATTAAAGAGGGGACCTGTGAACTGCCGTTCACTGAGAGTTTGTATACTCTCGGAAGATACCTTCCTCTAGCGCAAGGTGCTGTGTGACCCCGTCACACTCTTCGAGACCTCGTAGGTCTTAAAGGCAGTCAGCACTCTGATAGCTTCGATACCGGTAGCGTTGAGCGCCACGTCCTGCCAGGCGATACGCTTCGGCATTGCAAGTCGCGTCGGCCGGCCGAGTCTTTGCTGGGTGATCTCCTTTCTCAATTCTGAAGTGCGGCGATGGTTGGCTGTAAATCACCATCCCAACCCCTGTCTGTGCGAGGAATCAGAAAAAAAAGCGGCGTGCACAGGCAATCCATTCTATATGTGTAGTCTCCATAGTGTGATGTGGTCGCACGCTTTATTTGTGGTGACGCAGTTTTGGTGTGCGAATCTGGACTTAAGTTAATTTTTACGCGTTCTCAGCGCTGCGAGTCGCAGCCTGCCATTCCTCCGGCTCGTTCACGTCGAGTCGACGGTCGACAGGGATGTACAGATGTGCACCGACGACGCAGCGTGGGGCTCACCACCACGTCCCGCTACAGGTACTGTACATGTTTACAGTACAGTACTGCACCCCGTTCTCGCGGGGGTGGGCCATATAGGATTTGCAAATAAATCAGATTTTAGCTGACAAACAGTAGTTCATTTGGATCATGAGCATCACATCCGGAAGTTTATCAAAGGTCCAAGGGCGCGAAAACGGGGTTCAGTACTGTACTTAAGTACAGCACAGTACCAGTACTTCAATACCCCACACAATTTACTGTACATCACAGTACATGTACATGTACTACATGTATTAATACATGTACATGTACTGTGGTTTCCTCGTCTGAGAGTTGAGTCAAAGCTGGCAGTGTCATTGACACTGTCAACGCTCGAATCTAGTCTAGAGTCTAGACCAGGATTGATCTGCGAAAACTCGTGCCGATCAACCACCTAGTATCTCTTACACGATGGCTGCGTGGTTGAGTCAGCTGCTCGAATCACGCAAGCTGCGGCTAAGGTTGATCGCTGGAGGCGGGCGGCCCACCAACTGGGCCTTGGCGGCCAAGGTCCAGTCGCTACGAGTCGTATCATTCACATGCAGCCGAAGTACTGTACGACTGCACATGCATGATTACGAGAATGTCCTTCGTCCCGCTTCGGCGGGCCGCGGCTTGAAGAGAAAGTAGGTCGGGACAGCTTTAGGAAAGTGTTTCATTTCGTTTGGATACGTCGAGTTGACACGCACCTTTTCTCGTCAAGAGACACGACCTAAGTGCTGCGAGCCACAAGCGGCTTGCATTAGCCAACGCGCCCCTAGTCGAGGCAGAACGAAGCTTAATCGCCTGCAGACCTCGCTATTAATAAGTATGGTCTGTGCTGTGGTCCTGTGATCAACGCGACAGCAAACCGCCACAACAACAACCGTTGTGGCCAGCAACCTGCACGCTGAGAGCACTCTACGTAATGTACTGTTAATAATTTCTTGCTAAGAACTGCAAAAACAGTTTTCGGCCGACTCGTAAGCATTTCGCTACACTGCAACGTCAGAAAGCTGTAGAGTATTGACCTTTAAGTGCTTGTAAGGCGTTGGAGTGCCCCCCTACCAGCGGGCGCGTTAAACCGCTGGACGTCCAATTGAAGGGACACTTTTGGTGCAGCTGGCAATGAAGGGGCTCATGTTGAAGACGCTGCTAAGCCACATAACCTCCGATCTCCCCCACACTCCTCTTTTGTTGTTGGGGCGCGTGTTTATCGCTGTGCTTATCGTCGGGGTTTCGCAGAGTTGCCTAATTTCGGGGGGAGGAGGGCTTCTCAAAGTTTGGTCCGCCCCTCGTGGGGCCACAAATGTCTGTACAGCCGGAACTACATAGCGCTGCGCGCGTGTCAAAAGCGGCCATTACTGCTCTCAGAAGCTTTTACGCTAGTTTTGGCTAGGAAATGCCGGTGAAAGCGGCGTTTTAGACGGTATCTATCAAGTGTCGTTCCACTAAAGTTGAGTGGAGATGAAGCCTGTCTTGGTCGTTGCACGACATTGTGAGTCGAACATGAAAAAACTTGGCGTCACGCAAGTAGCACCAAGGTCCAGCGTGGCGTGTCGTACCCGGCAGACGCGTCCCGACCTCCACCGGCATAGCATTGCCACGAAAGAGAATTGGCTTGTACATGTAGTTCCAATCCTCGATGAGCCGGTAACTCCACTGTTGGCCCTAAACGAAGATAAAAGATGTTCTCTACGTCGGTGCATCGTGGGGGTGTATCGCCAACAACGAGCAATTTGTTCGGCACGCTTGGTTGTGCGGATACCGAGATGTAGAGGCGCCGTCCTGGTAATCGCGAGCCCTCGTTTGGCGTTGGATCGCGGCGCTGTGAGCCAAGCGGCGGCACCAAAGTCTCCTCTGTCTCTCTCAGTTGGAAAACGGGGCAGTGTCCGGGTCTGCTCAGTTTTTCTCCCCGAATGAACTTCCCCTGCAGAGACCGGACTGTGCGCTTGGTTGCGAGACATCCGGCGTCTCAATTCAAGCATCTCCACTGGTTCCATGTGCTACTCACACGCCCCGCACCGAAGGCTCGCCACCGTATGTCTCTCTTCTTAGCCAAGTCTGCGGCACCAAATCCCCCTTGCCGAGCCAAACAAGATAAAAGCCCAAGCCCAACGTTCGTAACAGCAGACAACCAAACACGTTGCGGGTCGGCTCGGCTTTGGTTGAGCTGCACCATCCGCATTTCCGATTTACACTCGGCATAAGCAATCTTGCTTACAACTTCCATTCGATCGATGGTACCAACTGCCGACCGCGACGAGCTTCAGTTCTCAAGCTTCCTTACGCAGCTCAAAGCAGAACCATCTTCTGAGGATCCAATGCGTACGGGCCAGCAGCAGTGGTCGTCGCCTACGAGCATCACGACAAATCCTACGGACGCCACGACAAACACGTCGCAGCCGCTGCCCAGCTTCACGCTAGACCAGCACCAGCAGAGCAACAATTATTACGCCAATGCCAGTGCCGGCATCAACTTGCCTCCTCGACTCTCGACTCCGACTGGATACTATACACAACAGCTCCTGCCGCCTCGTGAGATACATACCACTTCAGCGTCGGCACCCTGGAGCGCTCCGACCTACAGCACAGGCGCACATAGTCTCCAAGTTGGAGACTATCTGCACCAGCACCAGCCTCCACAGCAGCCGGCGCTTCATCCACTTCTACAGCATAGTGAAGCGATGCCGCGCTCGAATGACGACGACTTAGCGATGGACGCGCAGATGCTTCGCGAAGTGCTCCAGGAGATGCCAACCGGTCAGACGCCAGTTAATGCACAGCACACGACGCAGCCGCGCGGACAGCAAATGCCGGGCCTGCAGCTCCTTTTCGCTTCTCCGATGCACTCGACGGATATGCACGCAGCGGCGCCCCAGACACAGCCGCCGGCTTTCTATAGCAACAGCATGGGCATGACCACCGCCCCAGCAGACATGCTGCTCACTATGAGTCAGGCAACAGCTCCAGTCGCACCCATGTACCCCGTACCGACGCACGACCGGACTGTTCTGCCTGGCACGCTGCCGGTCCCGACCGGCACAGTCGGCATGCCTAATGCCTTTGACCCGCTCGCTGTCGCTGCTGTCGGGAGCATGATCCCGCCGCATACGCTCCCGCGCAAGAAGCGCACGACGGCTACTCGCATCTGCAAGGTGGAGGGCTGCACGAAGGGCATTCGTTCGCGCGGATTGTGCAAGGCGCACGGGGGCGGTCGCCGGTGCACGACGCCCGGTTGCACCACGAGCGACCAGGGCGGAGGCCACTGTGTTCTCCACGGTGGAGGACGACGCTGTCGCATTGAAGGCTGCAAGAAGTCGGCACAGTGGCGCGGAGTCTGCAAGATGCACGGCGGCGCTCGTCGGTGCCGTTACGGTCAGTGCACCAAGAACGGCCAGGTGAAGCAGGGCTACTGCCGGATGCACCACAACCTGCTTACAGCTCAGCGCCAGCAACAGGAGCAACTGCAAGCACAGCAGTTGCAGCATTTGCAGCAAGCTCAGCTGCCTCCCGTCCCGACTGTCGCCGCTATTGCGGCCATGCCCATAAAGCTCGAGACGAGCAACATATAAACAACCTCCGGAAATTCGGTCGTACACTGCATGTTTGGAATCCTCGAGGAGAACGACAAGTCCCTCGCTCGCTTTGGATAGAAAGAAGGCGTAATAAACATAATATAGTAAGCTCATGACCTCTAACATGTCAAAAGTCCTCTTACCCGCCAGAGTTTGGCACTAAACTCAGCAAATACAGTGACACTATTGTGAGTAACCTCTTGTCACACACACCGGAAAAAGGCTCTTGCTTGGGTTTAATGGAGACCGCGACTACAAAGGCTTCTACAGCTGCATCTGCTGGGTCCCAGGGTGATCAGCTGGCTAACAAGACGTCTTGTGAGTCCACATGGACGTCGTTCTCCGACGGGATTACGAGAAAAGGGACTTCTTCGGGCTTTCGGAAGTTCCGAGAGGCGCTGATGGCCAAGAAGTTCGAGAGCCATGACAATGTACCGGTAAGATCGAGTGCATCAACAAAACTTCGAAGAGTCGCTGTCAAAACGTTGTCGAGTTGTACATCTTAGTCTTTTGTTTGCTTGTAAGGTGGCGGTGGGAGCTGTCTCTGGCCTCTTTATCGGCTCCTACGGGGCGGCTATTAACTTGGAAGCTCTAAGGACATCGAACATCACTCACATCTTGTGCGTGTCACCAAGTCTGCCACTCAAGTGGGTGAAAACTTTAATTTGTTCATACCCTAATTTGAACTGATAAGCTGTTAAGTTTTCCCGAAGTGTTCACGTATTTACAGCTACAAGTGGCGGATCTAAACTCCGTGCGCATTTCCGAGTACTTTGATGAAGCGTTCAGCTTTATCGACAGGTATCTAGAACACGAGGGATGCAGCATAATGGCTAGGACGCTGATGTGTTGCGCTGTTTTATAGAGCCCTAGCATCGGGAGGGAACGTGCTCGTGCACTGCTTTATGGGGATTTCAAGGTCTGCAACAATTATTCTCGCGTACCTCATCGTACGTCGGGATTTCTCGCTCGCTGATGCCCTTCATGAATTGAGACGAGTGCGGCCTCGAGCACAACCGAACAGTGGTTTTTACCAAGAATTGATGGCGTTGGAGACGAAGCAGCAGAGCTCCACGATAAGTAGCTGCGACTCCAAGAGAAATTAGAAATATAGGCTTTTAAGTCGTTCGATCCACATCAGAAAATATCATAGGCACCCGTTCCTGCGCCCAACTCGGAAATATGTGACAAGCCTCCTGCACCCATCTCGCGCCCAGCGGTACCCATCAGGTGCCTATATGGCACCCAAACGGGTGCCCAGCCACTTCGCGCAGGGATACCGAAAAATAAATAAACTGAAAACGCAATATTTACTGATCGATAAAATAATTTATTTTGCATCCAGAAAGGTCCTATACCCATAACTTATTTTTCAAATTCAAATTTGTGACTACTTATTTTTCGATCTGCCACCACCAACCAAAAGGATTGGCTGTGATCTCTCACCTCCAACCAAAGGATTGATTGTGATCTGCCACGACAATCTAGACAGGTAACAACTGCCATTTTCAAAACTACATCCCAGCCTACACCCGCACCCACTCCTGCCACGACATGTCCGCCAGTCTCATCGCCTCAAACGCGCCCAGCCAGGCTTTCACGCCGAAGCAAATCGCCGCTTTCTTCTTCAAGCCAGTTCTTGATGAAGAAGGCGACCTGACCGGGTATCACGCCTGTAAGGCCTGCGGAAAACGACGCAAGCACGTCGCTAAGAATGGCTACAGTACACTAATTTGGTGACGCACGTGCGCACCGCTCACCCTCGGTTCGAGAGCGATATGCGTGATGCCTCCGAAGCTGTTACGGGGACTCTTGTATCTTGGGTGAGCCAAAAAGCCTCCAATCGATACGCATGGCTCAAGTGGATCGTAATGGACAACTTGCCCCTTTCCTTTTGCGAGTCAAAGGCAACGCGCCGGTACGTACACAAATTTAGTCTTACTAAATGTAAAATGGGCTAATTTAATTTGATCTTTTTTGTGACAGGTACTCTAATTTGGCGAATGTGTCTGTAGACGCACTGTTTACCAACATGGAAGGTGTCACGAAGGTCGTAGAAACAACGATCGGACGCGATATGCCCAGTGACTTTGGACTCAAACTCGACGACTGCAGCTTCGGGACCAAGCAATACCTGGGCGTTTACGCGTGCTACGAAACCTCTAGCGGCCCACAATACCCTATGTTATCCATCGCTCCCGTTATGGATGAGCCGGACGACAACCTAACCGCAGAGGGCCATCTAAGGGCTATCGACCGTTTTTTTACATGTTTTGGTAAAACCATTCAAGGTGTAAGATTCTTAGTCGGTGACAACTGCGCAGTCAATAAGCGGCTCGCAAACCTCATGGAGGTGCCGCTTGTTGGCCGCCAGTCATAGATTAAATCTTGCTGTGCGTGATTTCCTCCGTCCCCATGAGGATATCCTCGAAGAAATGCAACTGCTGATGCGCAAACTACGTACTCTGAACAAGCAGCAAAATTGAGGTACGCTAATTTTGTGATCTGTGATTTAAGTATCGCAAAAATGTTTTCATAATTGTATTGGACTGAAAATTTGTTTTACGTTTTTAAATAGACTCAAAGCTCCATTGGTTGCGGTCCGGCGTCAAGATACGCGCTGGTCATCGACGTTCACGATGCTGGATCGTTATGTTCGCTTGTGAGAGTTTCTATCGGCCGACGACGACGATATTGCGGACCTGCTGCCGTCCAGATCTTCCCATCGCCGGCTAGAGGACTTGCTGGCTAAGCTACGTTGCGTGGAGTCGATTTCGAAGAAATTACAGTCGGACACTCTCACAATTTTGGACGCTCGGGATTTGTTTGATGGATTGCTGGAGGAGCGACCGTCATTTCGCAATTATCTGTGTAAGTGCCTGTACTGGTATTCCTTATTTTACTTATGTATTAACTAACGTATGAAACAAATTACGTTTTTTTTTATTTACAGCTCCTTACGCCGACATCGTGCACTCACCGGCTTTTGAAGCTGCTGTAGTCAAAGTGCTCGCCGGTGAGGCAGCGATGTTGACTTTGGAGGAGTCAGCGCAACTGAAGCCGTTTGAAGTTCCTGCACCGACTCGCGAAGTGGTGACCTCTACCGGGACGGACGGATTTGCTGACAGCATTTTAAAGCGTCGCAAAATTGCAGCAGAGCAGTCGACGCACAAGTTGGTTTCTGCTATACCTCCGACGTCCAATAAAGTCGAAAGGCTATTCAGCGTCGCCCGTGGTGTTTTACGCCACCAACGACGCCGCTTGTCGCCCATGACTTTGGAAATGATACTTTTTCTGAAAGTCAACGTGTGACGGGGTCACACAGCACCTTGCGCTAGAGGAAGTTATCTTCCGAGAGTAGCAAACTCTCAGTGAACGGCAGTTCACAGGTCCCCTCTTTAATTAAAGAGAGCGAAGTGACCTAAATAAGGTAGATTGTAAACTGCGTATATTTATAGGTAGGTTAAGTTTGGGTTTAATACAAACTATTAGTTACCTATAGAAATGCAATGTCATTTAACCAATGGTTGGCTTTGAACGACCTTGGTACCTTGTACCAAATATCCCGGAGTATGACGTGTCATACTTCTGAAGTGTGAAGTGTCACACTTCATGAAACCAGGGTACACTGAGGGCTACGTACCCCGTTACACAACGCGATCTATTGGGACGTGTCAACAGTAGAGGCTAGTCTTTAAGTCGTTCCTTTAATACAGTCCAGTTTTGACTTGATTGCAGTATTTTATTTTACAATGTGCTCGTTTTTCAGTTATTTATTTTCCTGCAACAGCAGTCTCAATCAGTTATGTATTCGACAGTAATACTTCCAGCAGCTTTATATTGTATTTACGGAATCCCTGTCGAGGCGAATACCCGGATATAATGAAGTCGTACTTTTCGAGGATGCTGGACAGCACTTTTAGTGTTTGCATTGTGTGGAGCAAGACTTTGGAAACTCTTGGGCTTACTGCACAATGCAACGTACCATATTAATGGTGGAGGAAGAACTGTATAATAACATGGATAGAAATATACGTGAACTTCTGTATTAGGTGTAGAGACTAACACTCTTTAGCCTTCCATGCACATACGAAGGTAGCGGTAGCGCAGACACTGCAGTGTCTTCTAGCCAATGTAGCCAAGAGACTCGGCGCCGCAGAACATCTCGAAAGCGAGTAGAACGTATATGCCGCAGTTGTAGCTATCCACTTGAGCGCCCAACCCCGACTCGTACGTCTGTACTCGTTGGCTCGGGTTCACGCCGTTTGGTAGCAGAGATATCAGCACCTGAGCCACGGAGCGAACGCTCACTAAGTACGTAGACGAACTGGAATCATATATGGCCACCTTTCCCTTTTCGAGGTTCATCATCACGAAGCACCAGTAATTACAATTGCAGTTCACGGGGAAGAGCACCTTTTGATTCGATAGTCCCTCCATTTTCCTCCGAATACTCTCTTTGTCCGCCCCCATGTGCCTATCGACGACAGCACCTAGCATTGACGCCTCAAAAACAACTACGTTAGGATCCTGTCCGAACTTCTTTGTCAGTACCATGTGCATTATATCGTCCGTTAGGCACTCCTTTGCCGCCAAATCCAGTACGTTTGCCTGTCCAGTAAATACACACTCGGATGAGCTCATTTTGATTACAAATATTCGTGCAAGTAGTCCGTACATGTGGTGAAAATAGATGGATGCTCTTCAGTTTTTCCGGTAGTTCTGGATCTTCAACAACCAAAAACCCGGGAGTACTAGGTCGCGAGAAGTCGAGCTGCTTTATCATATCGAGCGTCTTTTCAATTTTCCTTAAGCCATCATGAGCTTTGTGCCACTTTTTCATGAGTACTACAGTTGAGTTAGCAACCACACCTAGACCGACAATCTCCAGTGCAATGTTCAATTCTAGTACGGCTCGGTGTTTTCGCTGGTATGCCGAAACCTTAGCCATGCTTTTTTTTATCAGTTCGATCTGAAAGATTCTGACGATCTCTTCG